AAGAAGGATTTTCATTTCTTTTGTGGATTTAAAATGATTATTTGATTTAAATTTGTTTGCTTTGTGAAAACACTCCGTAGCATAAATTTAACGTTTATTTATTTAAAATACACGACTTTCTTTTTCAAATATAGTAGAAATTTGACTTTTCTTGATGCATTTTACGTTGCGATTGAGTTTGACTTTAATTTGGATTATGATATTTTCTTTTTAAAATTTAAACTATCTACTATATTTGAAAATATTTATGCTGTTTAGGTAATTGTCTCTAGTTTTTTATTTTTTTTAATGGAGAAGAGATATATAATATTTGAGATATTGCTGTCTATTTTTATTTTTTGAATTTCTTTTTGTTAAATGGGTCAGGTGGATTGTTAAAGTTTGAGTTATTGCTCACTTAAAATTATTGTTCAAGGACAATTTTAGTGGTACAAAGGGAAAAAAGGCCATTATTGAAACTAAATTAAGAGGAAAATAAAGTTTATGGTAAAAATTAATTTTTTACCCTTAAATTTAGCAATGTGTATAAATTTTCACTCAAAACACACTCATTTCAATGAAAGTAAAGCCTCAGAAAAAATAAAGCATAGAAAATACACAAAATCTTCAAAAATTCATGAATTACTACAAAAATTTAGGTCGAGCGTCGTTTTTTTTTCCCTAAAGTACCATCAATTTTATGTTAAACACATGCGAGAATATTTTTTTTAACAATTCATAACATAATATCGATACAATTTTTAAGAGTTTCAAAGATATAAGTCTTAATCAGTTGAGATTTATGCTGAGGAGGTTTTTCAATTTCTTGAGTTAGTGTAATTATCAAGTACAATCGACCTTTAAAATTCTTATATTAGTTTTAATCTTAATAGTTCTTATTTTCCCTTCTCACTTGGTGATCTCTGTCCCAAGTTTGATTTTCATTGTTATTATGTTTGATATTAAAAATAAATCGAGTATTTTAAATAAATTATTTTTCTTTATACCTTGGTATTTGACCTTTATTTACCGAAACAAAAACAAAATAAAATTTAAAACCATACTTGGTCAAAAATTAAAAACTGTTTTGATAGTACTTCTCAAAGATTTTAGAAGTGATGTTTAAAAAAGTGAAAAATTAAACAAAGTAAACATGAACCCATATGCTAATATAATAAGGCTTTTAAGTTTCAAAAGGCGGGATATGTTAGAGTGTAGAAAGAGAATCTTCTCATTTTGAAAATATCATCTCTCTAATTGTTCCGTATACGTATGTTTTGACTCAAATGAGCCATTCCAAAGAAATTCCAAGTTAAACCATAGCCAAATCTATCCCACTAACCTGACCTCGAGCGATTCTCTATTAACATAGTGAACTTATAAAAAAAATGTTATTGATGTCTTAACTATTGAGCGTAAATAGTAAGTTTCCAAAATAGGGATGAAACGAAAGGCAAAGTTAGATTAAGAAGGTATTTATTGAGAGTGGGAAAATTTTGAAACGACTGATAGAAAAAGAGGCATATACTCCCTCTTGGGAGTTAGGAGTAAGAGAGAAGAGGGTCCCTAAACTCAAACTGAAAAGGTTTGGTTGCATATACTCTTTTTTTTGTAACCAATACTGTAACTTCACCTTTGCCCTTCTCTCGATGTTTTCTAGGAAATTGAAGTCTGGAGTAACCGCCAACTTGAACATAGCTGTTAAGATATATATCGTCAACTAAAAGATTAGAGGTTTGAATTTTCGTCCATATGTTATTGAGCTTAAAAAAAGTATCGAAGAACTTGTTCTAACATTTGCCCAAAAAATATTACCCTAAAGAAAAGTTCAAAATTTTGTTGCCAATTCGAGGGTACTGATCAAAAGGGTTAATAGTTCGATCTCTCACTCCTGTAATTGGTGAGGGAAAAAAGTTCCAAATGTTGCCGACTTAGTGTCGCTTTTAGGTTTAGCTATGTAATTTTATTTACGGGTTGTGGATTCGATTCTTCATGGTTGTGTGGTTCTTACAACAATTTTAGTTTGGAGTTAGTTTTAATTTGATTCATGTGATTTTAAAATTGAAATTTGGTTCCTATATTTTGGTCAAATCTTACAAATCATCGTTGGATATGTTACTATATTAAATATGGGATACTTTTCTTTATTTACGTGGCAATGAGCTAATGTTTTCAATTTATCCTTATATAAGGATCTAAAGCTGAGTAAAAATAGAAGAAAATTGTTTGTTTTTCGAGGAGTAAAAAATAGTTTAAGAATGATTTATGAGATTGAACTACCTGACCATAAAACTAAATTAGAATTTTTAAGACCGAGTTATACTTCTCATTTATAGAATCTTTCCATTCTAAAAATTTAGGAGATATGGAAACTATAAAAGAAAATTGTAAAATCTGAAGTGCTCTATATATACTTTTTGAATTACGACAAAGTAAGAGGTTGTTTCCTTCTTCTTTCTTCGCTCCGCTCGGGAGCGGGAACCGTAACTTATGTGGTTATGAAAAGGGCAGCAGGGAAGGGCTTTTCTGAAAGCTAGGGGCACTCTTTCCCCATCTGGCTTGAGGATCTTGTAGGTAGGATTTATCACCAACTTAGTTCTCTGTTTTTCTTATGTAGTTTTTTCTATCAAAAACGCAAAAGTAATTAAAGGCATTAATAATCTTTTAGGTTAAATATATGTTTTAGTCATTAATATCTTGATGCCTTTTTAATTTAGTCCGTTTTATTTTTAAGTTGATTATATTTTAACATTTTCTAATTTAGTTGACTGATGATAAACTTATATGACATAATACTTAGTGAATTAATAGAAATTTACCGAAGGAAAAATGTCATATAAGAGAGAAAAAAATTAATCCGCCTCTAAATTTCTAAGAAATTGGTAGAAATTTCGAGTTTTCTTTTTTTAGTACTTTTTTTTCTCTCTTTTAAGTTTCCACCAACTTACTGAGTATATTATGTACTGTTAGTCAATTTTGACATTCACCAATGGTAAGATACCAAATTAAAAAACGTTAAAACTTATAAAATTAAATTGAACTAAATCGAAAAACCTTTGAAACATCACTAAAACATATATTTAATCATGATTATAAGTTCAAATCTTCACCTATTTTCAAATTATAATACGCTAAAATAATCCAATACATCCCAGGGTCAAGGAATTGAGAGTTTTTTTTTTTTTTTTAATTCAATAACATGAGAAATGTGAACCTGACTTTTATATCTGTCAAAATGTAATACCAAATAATTTATACTTTCCCTTCAAAGAATTTTCAAAGATTAAGAAAAATTCAGGTAGATAAGAGTTAGGAGGACCCCAATAATTGCAGGGACCCACAAACGTTACTCTTTTTTTCTTTTTTTTTTTTTTAATATTTGATTTTTGTGTAAGAAAATGGGCCCTACAAAATTAATTAACATATTGAAAAGAGGGGAAATTTTAATAAATGGGGACCACCTCGGGTCAAAATCTCAGTCTTCCATGGCTATGAACCATTCCTCAGTGGACCCACGGCCCCACAGCTAACGAAATGGGCCCACAGTTCATTCTCTCGAATCTCTTCCCAATTTTGTGGATCTGGGCCATCTTAATGGGCCATGAAAGCAGATGACCTACACTTTAATGGGGCCGAAGTGTAGTGGGCCAACCCTACACTGGGCTTTTGGTTCGTTGACTTGTGTCAATCAGAGGTACAGCCATGACAGTGGGTTCCAGAAAATATTCTTAGGTTGGTGGGTAAATGTTTTTCTTTTAATTAAAATCCAAATTATTTTAAGCATTTTTAATGTAATAAAATAGTGGTTCTCTTATGTAAATATAGGTTCATATTCTTTTGAAAATCTCATTTGGTCCTTATTATTATTTATGAAGAGTATAAGATTTATAATTCTAGCTTGTCGAGTAATTTGTACGTGTTTTAAATGAACTTCATTGTGTGATATTTGTTTTAATAATTTAGGGGTGTGGTAAGTCTTTTTTAAATGTCTATTTAGCTAACATCTTAACCCCATTTCATCTCATTCAAAAAAAAAAAAATTTTATGTTTCACTCAAATTTTTTAAAATACAATTCTAAATGACATTGTGACCATTGGAAGCCCATCTACTAACATTTATGTTTCTTTTCTATTTTTTGATAAATAGCTTATTTTGATAATTATTTCTTTTTTTATATAATTGACTATTTAGCTTTTTTTTACCCCATATAATCAGAGGTACTTGATCCCACCCTAAGGCTCAAAGTTGAGAAACGTCAACCAAAAGTTTAAACAGAAAACTTCATGATAACCATATCAATGAAGTCATCCTTTTTTCTTATTTCTTATTCTTTCTTTTTTTATTGAAAAAATAAACAAAAACATGATTAATAACTATTTTTTACATTTCTTGTTCTCTAGAGTTTTAAATTAAAAGTATTAACTTTCTTACATGAAATTATTTTTTCAAATCAATTTTTTATCTTATATTTACTTTTTAATATTGATTATGTATTTTATAAGTCAATAATAATATAATAATGTTTTGATTTTATGTTTTAAAAAAAAATTGAAAATGAAAACAAGAAACCCACCCTCGTTTAAAAAAAATTGTACAATTTTAGAAACGTTTTTTAAAAATAAGAAACAAGAAAGAGAAACAGTATGTTTCTCAAAAGCTAGAAACAAGAAACAATAAATAAAAAACCAAAATTGGCCCTAATTAGTTCAAACAAAGTAATATATCCTTCTTTTGGTAAACGTAAAACCAAATAAGTGGGAATAACTTCAAAAATCAAATTTGTATTCATCCCATCTATGAGGATCATCATCATCACTTGCTGCATCGGATTTTAATGGACTATGAATTTCACCAACACGTTCTTCCTTTTCTGTGTTCTGCGCTTCTCCTTCTCCTTCTCCTTCTCCTTCTCCTTCTCCAGGTTTTGCTACTTCTTCCTCCTGTTCACACAACCAAAGTTTGGTGCAAAATTAAATGAATGTATCTCCGTGCCTAAGTTGAAAAGAGTTCGATGAAAGCGACCAAACTAAGTCAGTTCTGTCGGTCAGTTCAGTTTTTGTTCAATTAAGTTTGGTTTCGATCGATTTCACATCAACTTTGGCTGAAAATCGACCCAAACAGACTAGCTTACACACCATATAACACAATTGCATCTTGGTAGATCTTAAATCATCAATCAACCCAAAAACGTAAGACAAGAAAAAGCAAACATACGTTAGTTTCAGGAGACAACTCTGGCAGTTCTTCATCCCCAGTATTTTCAGTCAACTCATCTTGATTGGCCTCCTGTTTTGCCTTATTAGCAGCTTCTTTCAGCTGCCCAATCACCGATAGAAAATGGGAGTGGTCTGCAAAAAACTCGACCATAAAGATCATACCCAAACCAAAACAGAATATAAATGGACAGGGTTATAAGAAAAGAGACACATGATTAGTCATATAGCATGTAAAATTATGGAGGAAAGGGAAAATGAAACAAGTATTACCGTTTGCACGATTAGTTATAGCATCAGATAGACGTAATGGATGATGGCGTTCTTCGCTTTTAAATTTAAGCTTAATTTGACGGCGTGTTCTGCCGGGAAACAACTGTTGTATCATACAAAAATCTGTTCCGAATTGTCGAACTGCCTAAAAAATGTGTGAACAGATAGCTGAGTCCAATGCTAGAAAACTTCTAGCTGTGTGAACAGTGAGCAAAAACTCCAGAGGAACAGAGAGTTGATCCGTTCCAAATTATCCATCTCCCAGACCTTATAACTTTTTAAATGCTCTAGCATTCTTCTAGTGAAATTTCACAAAAAATAAGAAGGTTGATTGAAAAAATTCTAGTTACCCCATAAAAAAGCTCTGTATCCTGCTTCGACCACTTTGTACGTGGCGTTTTGTCCATGAAGGACTGGTAATTGAAGTAAGCAGAAGTCATGTCAACTACATCAGGTGTTTCATCGTCATCACTGCCTCTGCCTTGTTCAGAAGCAATGCTTTCCTCTTCATCATTATAAAATTCTTCACGGACAGTGTCAGTTCTGTACATAAAAGAACGAGTCAAAAAAATTTAACAAGTAAAAAGATAACAAACAAACAACACCACCAAGAAGACAGCTTAACTAAAAATGCAAGTTTCTTCAAGTGATAATTATCATCAAAGAACATGATGCCATATGTACTCAATGAATCGACACTTGAAACTTTTTTTCAAATTAAAATTCCCTCAAAACTCACACACAACAGCGGCATTCTAATTACCGATACTAATATCAAAAACTCTTCTACAGTAGAAGTGTTTCTAAACCACCTCTCTTCGCTTATGTACAAATGGGAAACTGGAGCGAAGTGAGATACGATAACAGTTCTACAGCTGGACTAAGCCAATTGATCCCTCCAACAAACTATCTGTCAAGTATTTGCTTAAAGAAATTGCTAATGATCAGGAAATTCAACCTTCCTCATTATACAATAATATATAGAGAGAAAAGCACCCTAGAAAAGTCAAGTTCTTTTGTAGGGAACTCAGCCACAGAGCCATAAACACTAAATATAGGATTTAAAGAAGACTTCCAATGCTAGCTACTTCCCCAAATTGGTGTATGAAGTGCTGCAAAGACTCAAGACCATCTATTTGTCTCTTGTGAATTTTCAAGTAGATTCTGGGGGTTCATTGTGGAAGCTAAGTTGGCAGACTTCTTTGCCGGCCTAAAGCATTTCGCTTTGATCATTCAATTGTTCTCCGAGTGAAACGGTATCCTTGTATGGACTTGACAGCTTCAGCGTACAAGTCTCACCATACGTCTCAGGAGGGGTCATCCTCGTGGTGTGTACTCTTTTTTCTAATCTTTAACTGAAGGTAAGGCTTCACCAGTGATATCCCTAGTACGAGGGACCGATAGCTCAGGACTTCCCTTTATAGCTTGCAATAGTGCTGTTGCTCTAGTCTTTCTTGGCTAAAAGGATAAAGGGACACGAGAGGTAGTAACGGTGTGAGATAGGAATAGCTATTATGGGTCAATCAATCTTGCCTTCTCTCTGGTAGGTCTCACTAAATCCTACCAGTTGTCGTTCCGTCACCCCCTTCTCTTGTCATGCGTGCCTTCCATCTCTTTGGTCGGTCAGTGGACTCCATCGTTCTTTCCCTGCGGTAAGTAACTCACTCTTTTCTTCCCTAGTCAAAGGCTGCTGCAGAGATCGATAGGCAGTAATAAGTCAATTTGTGCGCCATCTATCTTTTTTTCTCCAATCTCTTGCAATCGCTCTTCTGTCAACTGGAAAGTCTCTCAATCGCGAGCTATCTATTCAACTCGATCGATCTCTCCTGTCACAATTAGTATGGGCATTCCTATCTGGTCAACAGGTCAATCTGTCAGTCTAGGTCTCGATTGGCAAGCAGTTAATCGATATCTGGAATTAGTTCCCCTCCCTTACTTAATGGGTCTTCCTTAATCGATCTTATGGGTCTGAGCACTTGAGCCTTGAAAAATGATCTCAAATAGCCTTCCTTTCTTTTGTAGTAGGCCTATTAGTAGAGTAGGTAGCTCGTACCGCTCCTCTAATTCAGGTATTTTAAGAGTGAAGCTAGCTTAGTGAATCTATTTAAAAAACTCTTCCTCTTCCCCTCATCAACTCAATGAAGCAGCTTCGCTCCTTGTCCTTGCTTCTTTCAAAGTGTTTGAGTGAAGGCAGCATAAGTGCATTGGTCACATAGGCTTTAAAGTACCTGCTCGTGTCCTAATCAATCAATTCTACAGTTGAGTCTTGTTGTCAAAATCTCGTTGATGGGCCCTGCTAGTGATACCATTTAAAAGGGAAAACAATTATGTGGTCTCTCTTTATCAGAGCTTTCATTTGGTGTTTATGGAGGGAACGAGATAACAAAACGTTCAACTCAACATCTTCCTTGGTGGTAGACATTCTTAGCAGGTTAGTCTCCGTCGGGGTCGAGAAAGGGAGTTTGGGAGCCTTTGAAGTGGGTAGGGAGAAAGTGACCCTCTCTCACCTTTAGTTTGTAGATGATACTGTCTTTTTCTGTTCTGGTAAGGACAATGCTTTCAATAATCTTAACTGACTCCTTGGTTTTTTTGAAGCTCTTTCTGGCCTTAAGATCAATCGAGGCAAAAGCTCTCTTTTGGGGGTGAATTGTGACGTGGGTAAGCTTAGAGGGTGGGCTTCCCTGGTTGGGTGCGAAGTTGGTGAGTTTCCTTCCTCCGATCTTTGTCTTCCTTTAGGTCATAATCCTAGGAGTGACTTTCTGGATGCCGGTGTGTGAAAAGTTGCAGAAGCGTCTTTCTTCTTGGAAGGAAGCGTATTTTTATAAAGGAAGGAGACTTACATTAATTCAATCTGTTTTGAGGGGAATTTCGTCGTACCTTATGACTCTATTTAAAATCCCAATGGCTGTTAGTAAGGGACTAGAAAAGATCATGAGGGATTTTCTTTGGGAGGGAGTAGAGGAGGGGGGTGGTACTCATCTAGTCAATTGGAAGGTGGTTACAAAGCATCTAGATGCGGGGGGTTTGGGTATTGGAAACTTGAGGCTTAAGAATGAGGCTTTTCTAGCTAAATGGTTATGGCGCTTCTTCTATGGACCTAGGGCCCTGTGGCGAAGGATCATTGTGAGTAAATACGGGCCTCACCTGTTTGACCGGGTCTTTGGAGGTGGTCTTAAGGTGAGCAATAACAATCCCTGGAAGGCTATCGCTTCGTGTTTCCCTGCTTTTTCTCGTTCTCTTCGTGCTGTTGTGGGGGATGGTCAAAATACTTATTTCTGGGAGGATTCGTGGGTTGGTGATAAACCTTTGTGTCTTGCTTTCCCTCGGCTTTATTTTCTATCTGAAAATAGGCTTCTTTCGATGGCCAAGATTTTGAATCCTGGGGGGAGGTTAATTCCATTTCTTTAGGCCTCTCTCGTCCTTTGACGGATCAGGAGTCTTTAGAGGTGTCCGAGTTGTTGGTGTTGTTGTCTGAGTGTCTTTATTTGCTGGGAAGGAGGATGTGGGAATGTGGTCCCCCAACCCCTCGATAGGTTTTTCTTGTAAATCTTATTTTGATATTTTGATTTCCCCTTCTCCTTCGACCTGTTGGTTCAACTCTCTTTGAAAGATTAAGATTCTGAAGAAGCAAATTCTTCGGGTGGCAAGTTTTACTTGGGAAAGTCAATACTTTAGATCGTATCCCTATGATGTCTTCCTTTTGTCTGGGCCCGCAATGGTGCGTTCTCTGTAGGAATGCCTCTGAAGATTTGGAGCACTTGTTATGGAGTTGTCAGTTCGCTCAGGATGTTTGGCCCCGTTTCTTTGATTGCTTTGGCTTGTCTTGGGTCCGTTCCAGAGATTGTAGGGGGATGATGGAGGAGGTGTTGTTACACCCCCCTTTTCGTGATAGGGGTCGTTTTTTGTGGCAGGCCTGTTTTCTGGCTGCTATTTGGGGGATTTGATTAGAGAGAAATAATAGGCTGTTTAGAGAGGTGGAGAAATCTGTTGATTATGTTTGGGATCTCATTAGATTCTTCTGTATGGGGCTCTGTTTCTAAGGCCTTTTGTAATTATCCATTAGGTCTCATTCTTTTGGATTGGAGTCCGTTCCTGTAAGGGACTCCTCTCGGGGTTGTTTTTTTGTAGGCCCCTTTGGTTTCTTTTGTTTCTCTTTTCATTCTTCTCAATGAAAGT